CACAAAATTACGACAGCCTACTCGCCGAAACTGAACATCGTTTAAATGCAGTAACTGCTTCGCTTGAGGCGACAATAGCACAGCGTTCACCTCATCCGTCTACCCCAATTACTGCCATGCAACCAAGAAGAAGTACAAGGTGTTCGCATAGACACGCAGTGCCAGAAACTTTGGGAACCACGAACCAACTCCTCCTTGTGGTGCATGTGTAGGTAGACATGGTGAGGGAATTTATTAACGTGACTCTGAATTCGTCTGTTTGTTCCCTGTGTTCGCCATTGCTTGAAGGGATCAAAGCAACTCTTTGAACTGGAAGAAGTTCTTGAAGTGGAGAAGCATCTTCCGGTGCTGTAGGCGCGTAAACACTGACACGACAGATATGGGGCGAAAATGTTTCGGAGAGGTCGGTTTTGAGACCATGGGCACAAACATGGTTCGGGCAACGTTCATATATGAAGGAAAGGGAGAGAAAGTGAGGAGACAGTTAAGGAAAGCTGTAACGGAAAGTGGATCCATTTTCGCGGCACCCTTTGGTTTAATGCGATCCACACCCGGTGCGCGACCTTGCATGTTGCGAAGTACTTTCTAAAATTACTCTTTCATACTTGGTTTTATTAGATCCATGTTGGGATGCAGAATGGTTAGAGGGAAACTTTCGTCGACTACTGGCGGCTTAGAAAACACAATCGTTCAATGCACGGTAAAAAAATTAGAATTGCATCGCCTTCTTGTAGGAATGTTGTTCACCATTGACCATCAATAACCACTGTAGCGGAATCTTTGCGGTTGTTGTGGTAAAGCCGCTGAATGTGCTCTTATTGTAGGCGCCGATGCTGACGAGTATTCCTTATGTTTTGCAGCCGTTTCCGCCACTTGATTCGTTTTCATTCATGCGGGAAGGTCGTGGCACAGATGGTGTTTACTCGTGCACTAAATGAGCCACGCCTATCTTCCTTCATGAATGCGTTCATTAAATTTCGAAGTGTGGAATCTTGTCTCCTTTCTGTTTGTTCACACCAAGCTATTAAGCGGTGAGCTTCTTGATTTCTGCTCGAAATATAGTGTTATTATCAAGCGATCAACTGCGTGGCTAATCACCCGAGGGTGTAGGTGATTCATTCTGTGGCCAAGAGGTTTCTCTAAGACCAGAGACAGTTGTAGGAAAATTGATTACTTGCGTCTCTTTCATAGTAGAAGAGGAAGAAAGAGTACGTGGCGGAGTGTACCACGGATTTTGCTGAGAGGAACCGTGAGGCTGTTGGGCTATCTGTCTGTTAGGCAAAGGCATTGAGTCCGCGGGAGAGCCCCCTCAATTTGAAGGGGAATACCAGCCTGAATGAAATAAGCGTTTCGTTAAACTGTTAAGAGTCCTTATTGCGAATAATTTCTGAAGCCGCCGATGTAATTCTAGCTGTGTCGCACAAATCCGAGACAGTTCTGATGCTCGGAAGCTAAGTTCGCTGTCCTCGTGCGACACTCACTTAAAAGACTGAGCAGGTAGACGCAGCAAACAGTCAGTGTTATAATGTGAGCAATGCCTATGTCTACGATGTTTGGAGTGTCCGATTTTCGTACGAGATATCAGGACGCATTCTGGGTAGCTATGTGCTTGAGCCCCAGTTGTGGGAACTGGATTAAACGCTGTTGTTGACTTCCGGCGGTGAGCCGCCAAATGCCTTCGTAAGCGACTTTCGGTAAGGAAAATCCGGGAACGTAAGCTGCATGAAAAATACTGCGGACGATTGGGATCGGATGTGGACTGGGATGGTGACTGAGGTAACGGGAATTGGGAAGCAGTCTCAGGAGTTCGTTCCATCGAAGGATTTGAAGACAAAATCGGAGATCTAACGTCTGCCGATTGGTTCGCTTGACAGCGTGCTCATACAGGTGAGGAATGACAGTGGTTTCGCCGGCTGGAATTGGGGTCAGTTAAGCCTGCCCCACTCGATTCATTCATATGAATATCAGCTGGTTCGCTGATCTGACCAGTTGGGACGGCGGACATAAGGTAAACGAGCAGATGCCGGCACCGCGGGTCGTTCATAGGCCGCCATGCCCGACTACGAGGAGTGGATGAGCCTTGGGATTGCAGAGGTATGTACTTGTGGAGTTGTGGATCCCGTGGAATCGGTGGAATTATTTGTAGAGCTTGGAGGTGCTTCTGAGTGGTCTCAACGACGAAACTCCTCAATGGCATCAAGGTGGGACTCCTACCAGTGATTGGCTAAATGACGCGCAGCTGTGCTGTTCGTGGGGTTTGTCCGACGATAGTGAGTTTTCAAAGCCCGGGCTAATGCAAAATGACGATCAAGTGTTGGCACGTTGTTACTTTCACATCACAGACAGGCCGGTCATTGGGATGTCGCTGGTGATATCCCACATGGCGAGAAAGACTCGCTTCTGTGGAAAATGTTTTGTGGCAAATGTTACGGATGCGGAGACCTTGTTGGAACAATGCTGTTGAAGTTGACACGGAAGAGGTAGAAAAGATTTGGTTCGACGCCGGGTCCCCGTGATGTAATGCATGTGAGATGGATGAGTGCATGTTGGTAAAGTCCATTAGGTTGGAAGTTGACTAAGAGTTGCGTTTCTCCATAGAAACAAGTGCCACGTACTAAAATACAGGAAAGATTATGACAACACAGTGGGTAGAGAGCTAAAAAGAAGGGAGAGCAACGTGTGGGCAAAGATAGGGATAAAAGACAAGAAACAACTAAGTGAGCAGAGTCAATAATGCTTAATCCACTATTGTGGTTACAGGTAAAATCCGATAATCAATGCGGACAAAGAGGATTCCTCCTACCAGTGTATATAAACCTGAGATAAAATCAAAAATACGCATGGTGTTATAAAACAAGATGGAATCAAGACTGATTTTGCATCGATAATAACTGGCTGTTAAATACTGCCATCGTTCCGTAAATTTGCGTTCCGTACACTTCCGCCACCAATCCATCAACATTCCATCCACTATCCTCGATAGCTAGCCAGTTGCATTCGATACAACTAGTACCATCAATAAGCGAACCATTATTGATCTGTCTAAAAGGCTGTGAGTACACTCTAGGTGCACTTTAGAGCTGCGGAGGATCAGCTTGTGCAAACTAGAATTATGGGTTACTATTATGTAAGAATGTATTTGTTTTTTAAAAGAGACGATATCAAACACAATACGGATTAAGTCGGATAAGCTTAAACATCAAATAAACACATAAATTACAGAGGAGTAGTAGGGGGAGTTGAATGGTATAAATTGAACTTCTTCACATCTAGACTCAATCAGACGGCCATCACACACCCGAAAAAGCATTGTACGCACATTTAGTCTTTTCGAGAATCGTCAGCAGTGCGCATTCCATCCGACAATGGTAGGACTTGAACCCGCAACTGGACTGTAGCCTGTCCGTGGTTGAGGCCACTTAACTACAGGAGACGGCAAGCTTATAAGCATGAATTTCATCATAATGATTTCGTGTATGGTGTACATATGACGCTTTCTGTCATTTGGCAACGTCACCACTAATTCACATTTTTAACTGAATGCAAATTCTATCAAGAAGCACTGCGTTTAAGCAGCCTCAGTTACACAGAATAATGCTCACATCAGTTTCGGTTATTATTGGATAGCACTTGATCGCTTGTCATAATGCGCCGTACGTGGTTGCAATCACCTTGTAAAACATTGCTCTTCCCTCATCTTTAACACAGATACGCACATTCGATTCCGATGCTCCCTTTGCGGTCTACATGAGGCAACCGCATGGACATTGCTGAACCACTTGGGTGCGGTGCATCAAGTGGACTTGTTTCGACTCGAGTCCGATGGTGATCGCGAAGGACTTTGTGATCTGCAAGCGAAATCAAATGAACATCGTCATCAGCGTCTCGACGGGTGTTGGTTAGCGAACCACAAGCAACAAGCGGCAGTTTTCCATGGAAAATTGTCCGATCTTGCCGACACGCCATCCAACAGAGACAATGTTCCAATAAGTGGGCCGGTTACGGATCTCAATGAACCAGAGTTAACCCATGGGAAATTCACCTTTCCCGTACTATTCGATGTCTATCTGAAAATGTTCCAATCCTGGGAACAAAGTCCGAAGATTGTCATGTCTAGGAACACCTTACCAAAGAGTCAGATTTGTATGGCAAGTCAAAGCAGAAGTCCACGGCAGGGGATCTCATTCTTCCAGGGACTGTATCCCCAAGGTAATCTGTGGAAGAGCGATCACAGTGGCCACCACATCGACTATGGACTCAGTATAGACAACACGCGTGGGCTTTCCGGTGCAACATGTCTCGGAACAGAGCCAGTGCTAGACCAACTTCCCACCACATTCTCTCATGTAAATACCGGTTCCGCAGACATCGGCTTGTCAGCCAAGCTGAATGCGGCACTGAAGGTACGCAGACCGAACACGCATCAAAACACCAACAACCGACGCTCTTCCGCTACGACGAACAGATGAGGCAAATGTGCATTCTGTGGTAAAGTATTCCGGAATTGCAGCAACCTTACGGTACATCGAAGGAGTCACACAGGCGAGAAACCGTATCATTGCAAGCTTTGCCCATATGCGTGTGCTCAGTCTTCCAAGTTGACTCGACACATGCGAACTCACGGTGAGCCCGGAACCACCGGAGTTGAACTGTGCTGTCGATACTGTCGGACCCCCTTCTTGCTCAGCAATACTCTTGAGCGTCATATGAGGAAATGTGCAAAACTGATGGAGCGCCTGGACGTGCGGGAGAGTAACCAACAAAGATGCAAACAGAGAGGAAATCAGGTTATGCATGACTAGTTGAAATCCGACGGCCTCTTTTGGGACCATATGTCCATCAAGCGATTTGTGATACGCATCAGATGTAGTTGAGTACATCCATGGAACGCAGCCCCCAGAGACTGACTACTCACCATACATAAGCGCCATGTTCGATTGATTCGCGTTTCCTACGCCAGATATATTTCTTTAGTTTCTTTGTAAAAATGGTTTTGTCAATTATCAATTATATGAAGACAAGGTCTGCTCGGATGCAGTGTTTTTCTTTTAATAGCCGTGCGAGCTGAGTAAGGCATTTCGGAATCAGCCGGAAGTAGGCAGGCAGATGTGCGTGTATGCAATGCCAAAACCGAGCCATGTGAGACAGACTAACAAGGCACTGTGGAATATGCGGTCCGTACATGTTAATCTTTCAACCGTGGCGCTTAGAAAGACTACCGTGTGCTGTGAATTGCGTAGATGTCAGCAGGCGTTTCGTTAGCGAGTAGATGAAGACAGCCTACTGCAACCATTGCTTGAAATGTTGCGTGGCGTTAAGTGTGGTTTCAAAGGAATTCGGAGTGAATGCTTTGTACCGCCCAAATGTTAGCCGTCGCTTGACACCGAGAAATTCGCGCTACCGCAGTTGATAATTATATTTTTGAGTTTTTCATTGGTATTTCCAAAACGTAAGGCACCAAAAACGGTCTCAAACGGATAGTAGGCTGGATCGGCTTTAGAATATATCCCTCATTCAAGGATTTGTAAAGTCTCTATTACGGAACCGAACCCACAAGTTACTCTGGAGGCAGAAAACTAAGCGTCGGTTTGCCGGAAGCAAAACGAGTTCATGAATATTGGAACAGTGAACGTTCCTGTGAACATCGCTATCTAACTGTGGCTCGATGAGACTTGGTGAAACGCAGGATCTGGGCCGCAAGAATTAGTGGCAACGATCGGAGCCGATTGTACCGAAATAACCATCGTCCTACATTAGTGGATATAAAGTGAAATAGAAAGGAATAGCTTACGAATGTGGAGATATACTCGCAATTCACAGAGGAATATTTCCTCGGATTAATATCAGACAATTTAGGGTCGTCCCACTTTGTAGTGCATTAAAACAACGCGTCCGGATATTTGTCTCACGAATTAACACTCATAACCAAACGGAAGCTACGTAAGTAAGACTGCAAAGTGGAGTGAGTCCAGATGTGACGAAGTTCTACCTATACCATTAAACTCCCCCTACTACTCTTCTCTAATCAGTACCCAGACCAAACTGCTTATGATGCCATAAGTTAATTGGCTGCTTAAGTTTGGTAAGCTCGTCGCTTGGTGAGGGAGCTACCGGGTCCTCTGTACGGCAGTAACGTGTAAGTCAGTGGATAGTGAGCGGATAGTAACTTAATCACGATGGTCGTTGTCGTCCCCCGTAGCCCAGTGGTCTCAACCACGGATTGGCAACAGTCGAGTTACGGGTTCGAGCCCTACCAGGGGTCCGATGGAATGCGCACTGCTGATGATTCCCGAAAGGGTGAAACGCACGTACAGTGCTTTTCCGGGCCTGTGGCGGCTGTCTGATTGAGTCTAGATGTGACGAATTTCTACCTATAACATAAAGGATTCACTGATTCATTACGTGTTAGTGCGCACCGGTCATCTTGTGACTCAGCTTGGTGATGTGCAGTGGTTCGCATGCGGCTTCGCGGTCACCCCACAGACATTCTTTGCTAACCCAATTTTGTGGCCTTCGCAATGATTACCAGGGTCAAGCGCCTGTTCAGCAGCCATCTACGTCATAGTCGTTGACCATGAGATTGGCACAGCTTACATCCTAGCCAGCGTTATAATGCTCACCCCGTCATCGAGCGGGTGACAACATCCGGCCATGCATGCCTACATTTTTCACAACACCCGCCTCCCATGTCTAATTGACTGAAATCGGCCTAACAATGAGGCCACTACACAACTGCGCGCAATCAGGTCCGATACCAACGCCACGAATTTGATAGCGTGACAAACGATTTCGCTTCTTGATCAAACGAATGTAATTGACCTATTCACGAACATAGGTGGTAACTTGTAAATCATCGGGACCATAGCAAACACTATTAGCGAAGACATATGTCGTTATTGAGCATAGGTGGACAATTGGTGTCAGATTGGGAGCGTTTACTTGGGCTCAGGAACAGCTGCATGACGCTTTCCGTTTGGACTGTGTATCCGCCTGTTTATATGCACTGCTTTGGTCTACTCAGCCCGTGGCCGAAAGGATTAAACGCACGCGTCGTAAACTGAGGGTCATCGGTTCGATTACGTGTAGGTGCGGACGATCCCTCGGTATACTCATCCACAAACGACTGTTGGTGCTCGCGTGACAGTGTAGCGTCGGTATGGTGTGCCGGCGTACTGCTGATGCCTACACTCCTCCTAAGACAAGCAGCTAAGACCACGTTTGAACGGCAGAAGATATGTCTTCACATATGCGGCTAAACTAAGACGGCTACGTTGAAATTGCACCAAAGCTAATCACATCAGAATGGATAAGTGTGCCGGTGTAACGCTACCTGGTGAATGGTGAGCTGCATCAAATTGGTTAGGATGGAATGGTGGTCGCATAGGTCTGGACATCAATGTCTAGTGGAAGACGAGGGATTGAGATACTGACACCAACGTTGAGTTCAACTGAAAGAGCGACAGAGGTACAGTGAGGATGCGAATGGGTCATGGTGAATGTTGTTTTTGCACAAATGATTGATTTCCATTGGAATGGAGCAAAGACCTCATGAGAGCGAGTGGAAACACAGCTGTTCAGAATGGCAGCCAGAGTGCAGCTCCATGGATAATGCACGAAGTTTGAATGAAATGGAAACGCGAATTAGGTAGAACCCGCCTCCCCAAAGATTTCGGCAACGTGTCGACCAGATGATCACTGATAGATATGTGGCCTGATCACACCACTTGGACAATGGTTTCTCATTCTACCCTGATTGTTCGGAGTAGTTTAACTCATTTTACAAGAATTCCAATCGAATTGCACGATTCCACGCCGGGAATCTCTCGCATTCTCTAGCGTCAATAAAGCTGATATGCATCGCTTATTTGATCGATTTCATGGAAAAGTGGGTGAAACCCTCGAGGTACACGAACTGGACCAATGACTCAACATGTACCGACGATACCATGCCAATGAGTTTAATGCTACATCAGCACGCTGTGCACAGCGTAGAATGGTGGGGGAAATTCTATGCCCCATCGAGAAATCCAAACGAATTTGGATCTAGGGAGGTGCTTTAGGCGGTTCATAGTTGGATGATATCTGACACATTCAATAGAAAATTGTACTTACCTATTTTCGAGATGAAAAAACAGCGCGTTTCGGCAATTTGGTCAGCCGCGCCAGCAGGTGGCAACTCCATTTCCACGTGAATCAATACCGTTGGCATGTCCCCACCGTAGGCACAAGTCTCCGATTCAGAGAGCACCTCACACGTGCATGTGCACTTCAAATGATTCGCACTCGTTGCGGCAACTTGGTCACTTTCCCACAAATGGCGCTTATCATGAGCCAGGTGTGGGGGAGTTAAAAGCCTGCAATAAGGTAGACCACCAAGGAAGAGACTGCTTGCTGTAACTAACTGACGCTGCTGTTGCTGCTATCGCTTTGGTTGCCACAGCGCACACTTGTCTGGCCAGTGGCGCGCAGGAGAGTTGGACAGAAAAGTGGAACAATGTAAGGAAACATGTTTGGTGGTGGTAACATTTGAAAGTCATATCGGCTGGTTCGTGTCTGGATCGCCAAACGGTAGGCGTGCTGTGGTAATTTTGTCGTTGCGCTCCACAGATTCTAACTTCCGCCCTCAGGAGTAACTCTAGAGTTACACGAAAACATCGGCACCCACGTACACACACATTTGTAGACTCGCATACCGCTGTCATTATCGCATTGTATTATAGTAGTTGGGACACGAAGGACAGATTGCTGCTGAATCAATCTTCCATCGAAGCACTGCAGATAGGCAGAAGACGCACATCGTCAAGATAACTCCACCGCACGTTGATTGGCCGTCTATCCCGACTCACGGGATAGGTAAACTGAATGCGGTGCAAGGTATTGAAAGCAATGTAGGTTCAATAGACTCAAAACTGTCACCGATCGTCCCGAACCTTGTCTTAACTATCCGTGCGCCCATGGTTTCAAGTGGTACACTCGATCGACGTCTGTTCATCAGCATCTTACATACCACAAGAATAGTTGACACATGCATCAGCAGCAGTACGCCGGCACAATGTACCGACGCTTCGTTGCTACGCGGCCACCGCCGTCAGTCGCGCAAGGATTGCGCACACCACGAGGTCGCCCTCCAACTACGCATATTCGAAGCGGTGACCCAAGTTTTACAAGGCCGCCCAGCAATCCTTTGACAACCAACCGATTGACGCACGGACTGTGACCATCGTCTCTCGGCCCCATCAAATGGAAAAATAGATAGGAACCAGAGAGGACTTCCCTACAAACAAAAGCAGTACGGAGCTTTCGCTTCTTCCCTGCTTAGTTGACTAGCAATGTAAATATACAGCGCACATACAAGAACGCCGGGTATGTGAGTTTGTCAATGGATGTACACAAAAGACTGAATCACGGCCGCGACAGGGTCTTCGTGACAGAAGCAAGAATTGTACATTTGCGTCGACTCAGTATTTAACGTACAGAGTAGGACCCCTGAACATAGACGAGTAAAAAGTAGCACTTTGTTAAAAATCTCTATTTCCCAACGCAGACTGTACTATGCCGGGCTCGGTACATGGGATCAGAGCAACCAAGCCTGAACCAATGAATAATGATTATGTATAACAACTCGGGAGTAGCCAAACTAGAATGTAGTAATGGTTTTATAGGGGTGAAAAAGCTAATGCTTAACAGGTCCCGTAGGATGGTTATGGTGAGGTTGCTAGCAAAATTGGGTTTACACCGTTGCACGCACTGAAGTATACGTATACTAGCTTGTTAATCCAAGGTAAATCCCTAAGTAATGACGACAAATGGGATGTTGGCAAAAATTGTGTCTCCTCCTAGTGTATACATACATCATCATCATCATCATTACACGTTAGCTGGAGGTGGAAAACACCTCAGCTATTGTGCCGCAATACAAAAGGCAAGAAAAGAAAAAACAAACAGTGGCACGCCCGCTGAGTCCCCAGTAACGGATGGACATCGTTCCGGAGAGCTAACA